CCGCCGCCACCGAGGGGGCGCGGGGAGCCCGACTCGCGGTACCGCAGTCCCCCCCTCAGCCGCCAGGGGCAGCACCATCCCTGCCCTGCCCGCGCCTCCCCCCTCCTCCCCCAATCTCCGCCCCCCACCCCCTCCCTCCCCCCGCTCGCTCCCCTGAGCCCCGCCAGACCCCGCTCAGCCCGCGCCCCGCTCCGCTGCCGAGGCTCCCGCAGCCCCGGCGTCCGCCCCGCTCAGCCCTCTCCCGGGGGCCATGGGGGCGCCCCCGGGCTACCGACCTTCGGCTTGGGTGCATCTGCTCCACCAGCTGCCCCGCGCCGACTTCCAGCTCCGCCCGGTGCCCAGCGGTTTCGCGCCCCAAGAACAAGAATACCAGCAGGTGGGCGCGGGCACGGGGTCCTGGAGGCGGGGGCGGGGGCTGGGAGCTGGGTGACAGATTCCTGTGTCCTCTTGGGGTGGGAGCCGGGCCGGGACTTTGGGGTACCTGAGGCAGCGAGAGCCTGGCGTTCCCGAACCTGGAGGTTCCCCTGGGAACCTCCTTAAATGAGGGAGGGCTGTGGCCTGGACCCCTGGATCTCAGAGGAGGGAGGGGACTGGGGGCCCTTGGATTCCCGGGTCTCTGAGAGCTGCGCGGGAAGCTAGGGTCATCAGCGGGGTAGGTCCATCATGTCCTAAAAGACGACCCCTTCCCTCATGGGATCAGGGCAATGCAGTTAAGCGTCCCAGTTCAGGTGGGACCCAGGAGATACAGAGGAGCTGACATGGTGGAGAGGGAGAAAGCTGGGGGTGCCCTGATTCTGGGACGGGATTGAGACCTGAAATGGGGAAGGGGGTGAGGGGTTTTAGGGCTGGAGCTGGGAAAAACAGGTGGAGGCGCTGGGAGAGACTTCCAGCCTGTCCCAGGACGGAAGGGGCAGTCAGTCAGGTCGACGGCGGGGGTGGGGGTGGTGGTGAGGATGAGGTTCGGTTCGGGGACTGGAGGATGACAGAAACGGGGCCAGAGGGTGGGGCTGGGTGGGAACCTTAAGGAAACCGGGGTCCCTGGGGAAGGGGGCCCAGCCTGGGTCAGCTCCAATAGGGGCGAAAGAACTGTCCCCTGACCCAGTTTAATTCAAGTCCTTGACTTTGAGATTAATGAGCAAGGCTTGGCTGAGCTGGGGATGGGGTAGGGGGTGGGCAGGATGGTGGAGCCCTGGGATGGGTCCTGGGCCCTGCCTGTAAGGTCTGAGCCCCTCGGATCTGTCCTGGGGGGCTCCCGGGACAGGGGGCTGGGGATTGGCAAGCTTAGAAGGAGGGGGGTCCCAGGAAAGCAGAGAGGGGGACGTGTGCTGTATTCTGAGCTATTTGGGTCATGGCTGCGCTGAGCCGGCCGTTAGCAGCTCCTCCCGCTCTGTCCCCACCAAACGGGGACTGCCAGCCCCTCTACCACAGCCTGCTGGTTACACAATCCCAGCCTCCAGGGCCAGTCCACGGCCACCTGCTCACAGCCAAGGAGACCTCCCCACACGGATGCCACACGCGGGGTCCCCACCCCAGCCACCGCCAGAGGCACTCAGGGAGGCTCACTCTGCCCCCCCCCCCCCCCCCCCCCCCCCCCCCCCCCCCCCCCCCCCCCCCCCCAC